AACTTTTTGTTCTGTCTAACTTTGTGGCTATCTGAATATCCAGTCTAAGAAAGATAAGTGGAAAATTATCTTAATTAATATAATTCTTATAAACAGAGAGCAAACGTACTGCAGTTGTTTATGATTTTAAAACATTTTCAATGAGGCTTTGATATGTTTTTGAAAGTTAAATACCTGGCTTTCCTTGCTGAAGTAATGTGCCCGGGAATAGGTTGATTTTCTAATAAAAAAGCTTTATTATATTGAAAAGCCACAACGGGCAATTTTCCCAACTAATATGGCAATTAGAGATATAATTTTTAATGGTTAATTTTGTACAATTAAAATAATAGTGGATTTATAAAGGAACAGTCCAAATCAAGGAAAGAAAATAAGTACAATTATGAGAATGTGGAAAATATAAATATTTTTCTTTGGTACTCTTAATTCCTATTATCTCCTTAATAGGCAATTTACCTTTTGAAATTAGGTTATGAGATGCCTAAGAGGGCAGAAGAAGAGGTTCAGATGATTGGGTCCTAGATTTTCAATTTATTTGGTTGCCATCCTGTAAGAAAAACCCAATGTTATGCCATGTTGCAGGGTTTTGGTTATGTAAACATGAAGAAACAAGTAAAAGTTGATGTTTTGGGAGCCAGGGAGGAGGGAGAGAAATCCAGTACTGTATACTAGAACTCACCAGTAGTTTGCAGATTGCTAGATATGAAGAAAACAACACCAATACAAATATTAAAGGGTTTTTTTTTTGTTTCATTTATTTATCATTGTGAGTTTTTTGTTTCTTGTTTTTGCTTTTGTAATTAACAGGTTAGAATTAATTTGGGCAATATTTTGGTAAAAGAAAATCTATATATGCTGAAATTAGCAGCTTCAGATTCCCCCCTCCCTTCGTTGGTCTAGAATTTTGCTGAACTGTTAAATTCCACATAAAATCACAAACTGTCATACTGAAGGTTGACCTGTGGATGCATTTATACCATTTAAATTTTTTGAACAGAATTAAGAAACGGTGTACTAGTATTTTAGCATAAAACATACATATAGATGTTTGTATTTTTATATATATAGATATATGTATATGTATATGTAGGTCTAGGTGTGTTCGGGTCTTTTCCTGTGTAAGATTAAGTGTGAAAAGACCCAAACACACTTAGACCTACATACCTGTACCCGTGAAAATCTACGAAAACAAATACATATATACATATATATACATATATATACATATATACATATATACATATATACATAAATACATCATATATATATATATATATATATATATATATATATATATATGTGTGTGTGTGTGTGTGTGTGTGTGTGTGTGTGTGTATGTATGTATATATGTATGTATGTATGTATGTATGTATGTATGAGTTTCCAGCATTGCTGAAGTTGTGAATTTAATCATCCAATGCACATTCTAGAAATACTAACCATTTCTCCTGTTCCTTTCATCCTTGTTAAACCTTAAGAAGTCCTGTAAAAGACGCTGATTTAGGAGAAAATGACTTAGCTTTGAGGTTAAGTAAGGAATCTGAGCTTTCCCAATTATGGACCAGTTGGCACCTGAAATAAGTACTTTGGTGAGCATAGCTTCCTTATATGTCTTGTGCAGGGGTTCATATAGGCTTCAGTTAAAATGTTTCTGCAAAGTGGGCATGCTTCATACTGCAGAGAGCAAGGATCAACCAGGGAACTGATTTTATTTGCTACAAATCTACGAAGGGAGATAATTCCAAGCAGAGAATAATTAATAGAAACAAATAAACAAACAAAAGGATATTTAATTTCTTGGTAGACGCTTCCTTTTTGGTAGTGGAAGCATAAAGGGAATTTAAGAGTGTTGCTCACATCTTAGTTCTGCAATTTATGGTTGCTACTTTGCTCTGATTTAATTTAGCTTTGTTCTGTTTTTGTTGTGATCTTGACTCTTACCCATCCGGATTTGGAAGAATTAAATATTTATGTTCAAAAATATCTGCACAGTATTTCAATCTTTTGTCAATAAATCAAAATTTATTTTTTCTATTATGTAGCACTGCTGTCAACCTCTTGTATTTAGCAACATTTTTATTAATGTTCTACAAAGCCTATTATTACTGGTCTCACAAAAACACAAATAGCGAAGGAAACTAAAGATATCTGGTTTCATGCTTGATCCAAAGATAAATAGCCATTTATAGAAATTCTTGCAGATTTAGTGTACTGTATATTATGTTCGCCAATTACTTAATATATTTTTTGGTATAGTCACATTTCATAACGTTTATACATTTGTGCTGAATATCCACATGTAGCCTTTCAGAATTTTAATGTAATTTTCTACTAAGCTTGTTTCTTTTTCTCTTTGAAGTAGAAGAGAGCAACAAAATGGATTTTGAGCAATTTATTATAGTTCTTTTTTTTTTATCAGATTTTATCTTTTTATCATCCATTAAGAAAAGTTTGTCACAATTATTTGACTGTGTATAGGAATGTTTTACAATACTGGTTGGGCATATCATATTTTCATATCTTAAATCTATTAATTTAAACCAGTGTAGCCCTCATGGATATCATACATTTTGTAATTTTGATCCTTGTCTATCGGCTAATTGTGTGATGTAGGTTGAAAATCCTGTAACTTACTCTATGTCAGAATTATATTCAGTCTCTTCCGATCTTTCATCTTTACTCTTATCATTGCTCCTAACTCTAGGTTATTTTTTTTTTCTTATTCTAGGCAAACTTTTAAAACTGGACTATTCAGTTTTAATTTTTGTTCTTCTCTAAAATTATTTTTTTTCTCATTTGTTATGTTTTACTAATATCACTGTATGTGTCATTATCTTTTAGTTCAAACTGCCTAATAATTTCACCTGCCTCAACCTTCAAAATCTCATTTTTCTATGATTATGTTTAATGCAAATATTAATAATTAATAACTGACTGAATAACAAATCAAAATGAAGTATAAATTTTCACTGCATATAACACAGACATTGAAATCAATAACAAAATTTAAACTGCACCATCTAAATTTTGCCTTCCATTCCACGTTCAGATAGCATTTATGTTATTTTTATAATAACCCCTTTATAGTTCATGTTTTATATATTGTGAATTTCATATTTGAAATAAATTCAAGAAAGATAACTTTCGCAAAAAATGTTTTTAAAAATCCTCTATTGCTGTATTCTCAATATCACATTAGTTTGCAGCCTTATGTAAAAATATATATATATATACGTCCATTAGGATTTTGGTGGCAAATAAATCACTTAATTGAATATATAAAAACTTATATGTGCCAGTAAATTTCTTAATAGTTGTGAAAACAATCTTCACTATTAGCTGCCTAATAAATTCTAATAAGTTGCTTTTAAAATTCCTTTTTTTAAAAAAATAGCTGATAATTAATATTGATTAAATTTCTGAACTCCAGTGCCCTGTTCTGGCATTGTCTGGAGGACGGTACTAAGTAGTTGCAGTTTTCATGTTAATGCTTATGCTGCTGCCTCAATTTCCAACTTTATACAGTTGTTCAACAGGGCCACTTACGAAAATGGATCTCTGCAGCTTACCGTGTTCCTCTTTTCTCCATCCTATCAACAAAAAAGTTGAAAGCTCACCTAACAATCCATGACAGGGACCCTCTAAAATACCTCCCACATTTTAGTTCTTTGAAAAAATAAGATTGCTTTGCACAGGATAGCTATAAGTACATAAAATTGCCTTTGTTGAGAGAAGGGCTGGCTTAATGTAGCTCAAATGGCCTTTTCCATTGTACCCAAATAGTGGTAGATAAGCACTGACCATGCTTTTCTTCTTCTTCTTTTTTTTTAAATTAGGGGATAAAGTTTACTAATGAAAGCATTCCTTAAACATGCGCTTCAGAAATGTGTCTGGGAGCAAGTCAGCTCAGGATTCCTACGACTCTGACACCATTGTATTTCTGGATGGAAGGTGTCAGCTTTGGAAGCCTTTTAATTGTTTTACCTAATCTACTTTAATCCAGCTCGGTTCTTTCCAGATTTAGCCGAAGCTTTCCACATTACCTCTTCGTCATTAGGCAGTGCTTAATTCGTCGCTTTCTTTATTTTCTTGGCCTTTCCCAAATTGCTAATAACATTTTACATTTTGCTATAAGAAAATTCACTGGTGTGGTCTATAATCCTTCCCACTTGTCCATTCAGATGCATCCAAGAATGAGTAAGTGCTCTAGACACCAAGGGGCAATAGATGTGGCAACTGGTGCTTAACACTGGAAATGTCCATTATTAGCACATTCTCGGGAAATGCTGTTCAGATTATCAGGAGGAAATGTCAGGACATTTAATAATCACCCTTGAGGAATTTAGTGTTAAGGGCAGATGCCTTTCCTCTCTACCCTGCCATTTTCTTCCAAGTGCTCCTTCTGTGCTTTTGGGTTCCAAAAACAGGCAAGGAAACTACCTTAAGCAATACATGCTTTAAGTTCTAACATTTGTTTGGGTGTGTTACTAAAAGCCAGCGTACATTTGTTTCTCCGCATTGCACATTTATAACAGTTATCTGGGAGTGGCAAACTTCGGCTTTTGTTCATGTAAAGTACGTGTCCATATATTTCCGTTAAAAGCATGTATTTATAATGGAGAATGACCAGAGGAATTTGTTTTGACTGCTTTCATCTTGCTTTGCAGTTAGGGTGAGTTTGGCACACCTTGGTTGTGTACAGTCCCTAACTTTTTTTTAAGGACTTCTCAGGCTCGTTCCCTGGTGTCCCACACAAAGGATTCTTAGGTTATAGTGCTAGGATCGAACTCATTGGCGTTTACCGCTTAGATAGTTTTAACTAAAAAGTGAAATGTTTCGTGCCAGGGTGGAAAAAAACTAGTTCTGTTTTACAGTTTTGGGACAGCTGTACAGTTTGGCTTCTTCCTGACTGTTTTTTCCAGTTATTCCTTTTTTAAAAAACACACAAACAATTCATGGCCTGGTAATGACTTTATTAACACTTTTGTCTCTTTTTTTAGGGCAGCCTCGGAACTTGCAAGATCTCTGTCGAATTAAAATCCGCCAGTGTATAGGCCTTCAAAACCTCAGACTCCTTGACGAACTACCGATTGCCAAGGTCATGAAAGACTACTTAAAACACAAATTTGATGATATCTGACAGTTTGCAAGAGTTGGACAATAAGCAGGATTAGTTTGTATTCCAGATACCTTTCAAAGGCTGGTCATCTTGCACAACGTATATCCTATGCAATTTCTGATTTTTTTTTGTTTTTTTGTTTTTCCCAAGAAGTCAGAAAGCAGGTATACAATTTCCTTGCGGGGGGGGGGGGGGGGGCAGGTGGAAGGGCCTGTTTTATACCAAATGCTAGGAGGTCTTAATTTTTATTTTATTTTAGTTGAATTCTTGGTCCAAGTTTACAAGATTCAAGCTTTCTATATGACGTTACAAACAGGGGATTGGGTTTTATTTTGCAGGGTGGGGAACATTTTATAAGCATCGCTTTTAAGAATGAAGAAGGGACGTTGCTTGTTCGAAAGGAAGTCTTCCCCATCCCTTATATAGCATGTGTAATATTTGCGAAGTGCTGAATGAATTCTAAACCAAATAAGGGTCAGACTTAAGAACGCCAGGTATTGCGATTGTATTTCTCTTATTGGTAGAGAATCCGATAGGCAGATCCTTCTGTAGTAACCCTGATTGGAGGACTAAGCCCCCTAGCACTATTCCGGCACACACATACATACAAAAGGCCAATATGGCACCTATTTTACGCTTAATTAGTGCTGACAATTGATCGGATTCCACACCAAGGTAATTTTCTGCCCACGGGGGGTTATTTATTTATTTTTTCTTCAAAATCATGGCTCAGGCATGTAAGTAGAGTGTTCTAAGTTTGTTGTAGACATAACGGCTCTCTGAAAACATTGCCACCTTCATTCTTTTTTTTAAATTCAACTTAGATCTTTTGCATAATTATTGTACTTCAAGATGTCCAAACTTCTTACCCTTCCTTTGATTCCAGTATGAATGGACTGCTGTTTTTAATTAGGTTTTACACTGCTCACGTACCTGGGCATCTATAAAAGCATTGACTGAAAACAAATTTAACTTCAAAGTAGACATATCCTGTTTCCATATAGTGCCTCAAGTGCAATATATCTATCTGTCTTATTTTTATTTCCTGTATCACACATGTGAGTTTCACACATTCCTATCCTGACCTCAATGTGATGTTTGTTACTATTGGAATTGCTGCTTTATAAGGGTTTTTAAAATTTATTTGTTATCGCCACCTTCATTTCAACGACATCCGATTTCAAATACCGTAGCCCACAACTCAGCTGTTATTTTTGTTTTTTCATACCACAGGCTAATTTATGGTTTTCTTAGAACAAAATCCAAGCTAGCGATTTGTTTTTTATTTTTATTTTTTTTAAATGTGGTCCATAATTTGTTTCCTCTGACCTGACATGCTTCCAGCTGGTTTGACACTAAACAGAGCCTTAGGCCGTTGCAAATTTCTCCTTAACTTATTCAGGCCATGTGAAAACCATTCGCAATTCAAAATACCTGCAAATGTGAATTATGCATGCACAGATCTCTGTACTATCAACAGAAAGGTCCGTAAAACTGAGTTCATAGGCAGAATGTGAATTCTGTGCATATAACTCACTTTTCATAGGTATGTTGAACCTCAGGTGATTGATCATATTCAGTACACAGTTAACATCACGGCTTTGCCCTTTCTAAAGACCGTATTCACCCTGCTTGGAAGGTAATTCCTTGATATTTCTAAAGACAGTGTGTTGGTAGCTTGAAAGTAATCCTTGATTACAGCTTAGTTCTAAATATCGGCTACTGTGAATATTTTAGATGCGTCTCTTATTTTACGGGAGTTGAGATCATTACAGAAATAGGATTCTGATGGTCCCTTATCAACATCCATTGATCTTGAAGCTTGGAGCGTTCGGATTTTAGATCAGATTTAGCTTGGATTCTGTTGCAGAAACACTACTGGTTCTTATGCTTGAGTGTTTCGAAGTTTTCAGGCATACCTCGCACCTCATATATCAGTTTTGCCAGGTAATCCGTAGCTCATAAGAGCAGCATACTATCCCTTTAGGTAAGGATCTCTCTTCTTGCTTTTAGTGGATTTTTAAGAAACAGTGATAATGAAGGGATTTTGTTGCTCCTAATTTAGCCTTGGCTTTACATAAGCAAGCAAGAAGTTGATGGCTCAGTACATAAGGTAACAGGCTAATAGCATTTTCCCTACATCAGTTTTTTTTTAGAAGAAAAATGCAACAATTGCTTGAAATGGCCTATTAATTTATTTTTTCCTTTTAAGGTGCCATAGCCAAGTCAAGCATGCATTTGATATACCAGATGTACATGCAATGCTGCAGGCAATAAAATACCCGTCTTCACATCGGCAAATAGTATTGCTAAGTTCCAAGTCTTCTATTTAAACCCTTCCATGGTCAATCTCTAACAATTTTTTTAAGGTACTTTCAATCCAGGTTGAATCCAGAAGGAAGGAAGTTGTGAACTGGCACAACAAATTTGCAGGTCTGGCTCAGTGTGCTTGATCTATCACATTCTCCATGATCTAGAGTTCTCTTTACGGATGCTGAGATCCATTATAAGATGACTTTTAATTCTGTCTTGCTGCTGCTGTGACTTTCGGAAAATGTATAAACGCCATGCTGTTAACAAAAAGCTATTTAATGGAATATGTAACGCCTTTTTTAATTTATTTGTTTTGAGGGTTTTTTGGGGGGTTTCTCCCCATATTTTAATACTTAGTTCATTTTTATGAAGTGCATATTGAGTTGTCGTTCTAAAAGTACTAAGCGCCACCCTGCATGCCTTCCTGTCTGCGAAGCTGTGTTGGAAAGTTTAAGGCAAAGAGGGAAGGTTGAACTTTGGGTCCCAGTTGTAAAGAAAATTAAGCACTTGAGTTATGAAATAACTGGTTAGTTGCCCTCCCTCTTTAGTTTTAATGTTCAGGGAATTCCACAGCCTACGTACTGCGCTGATTTGAGGCTGAGAAGACAGAATGTACCACATACACACATACCTCTGTGAAAACTCAACTGGATGAAAGGTTATAAAAAAGCAGATTTTAATTTTATTTGATCCAACTTTATTAGACTGACAATTTGAAGAGGTGTATAATAATTTATAAGAAGAAAATTATGAGAATTTTCTGTTAAATATTTGGGCTTAAAATATGAAAAATAATAATAATATAAGCATCCGTGCTAGGCCTGTTATCTCTTGTATGTTTGTCAACTCTTAATGAATAAAAAAAAAGAGATTGGCAAGCACACCAAAGAAATGGACAAGCTGATGATCATTAGGAAACCACAAACCTCATTCTTTTGAAAATAGCTAGAGTTTTTTTTGTAAATATTTATGTTTATAGATGTACAGCAGAGTGTGTTTTTCTAGATTATTTAATTATCATATTTCTAATCTATTTACAATATTAGTATTTGTTTGCTCCAAAGGCTTCTGTTTGGATTGTAATTTGTTCTCTCTCTCTCTCTTTTTGCTTAACTCATTACTCATGCAATGAAAAACTTTGTCCTTCTGAGCACAGCATGAAAAGACAGTAGCCAAATATTTGTTAATATCCGATACTTTATACAACACCCATGTGGGAATAACTTCAGTCCCAACACATTGTGGCTTGCAAATAAGAGGACACTCACAAAAACATATACTTCCCAGAAAATTCCCAATTCCTTCCCCCATTAAGGCCTTATTATACTAATGCAAAACAGGCTTCCAACCTTATTTCAGATTCTAGTTAAGAGGTGAACCTTGGCTTGCTAATGAACCACGCTCAGCGGTTGTATAGACATAATACTAAGCTTTGGTTACTGCTAAGAATAGAAGGGGAAGAAAGAGTGTAAGGAGATCAGATTCCCGAGGCTACTTCCTAATGTACTAATCTTATTTATCAGGGAATCAGTGGTCTGCCTGAAGCTTTGAAAGTTCTCTTGAAGAAAATGGGTCATATTTTCTGCTCCAGCAAGCTTCTGTTCATTTCAGTCCTGTAGGACTTGAGATGGAGGCTTCCTCTGTGGTGTCTTCTTCGCATGCTTGTCAGGTTGCTACAGCGAACCAAGAGAATTTGAGATCTCAGACTGGTTTGATCAGGTCGAAATTGCAACTGTCACTGTGGGAAGGATAACATACTATTTTTGTCTCCTGTTCCGTCTTCCACACAGCTCTCTCCATGTTAGCAACTTCATAATATATTTTGTTTTTCCTTTTGTAATATACGGCTTTCAGTTGGATCATTTTGAATTAAAATAATTTTACCAATTCTTTTAAATTTGGTCCTCTCTCTCTTTCTCCCTCCCTCCCTCCCTCCTGCCCCCCCCCCAAATTCATTCTTTAAACATGAAGATTTTGTATTGTAAAGATGGAGGAGTGCCATCTCAGTGCCTGTCTTTTAGCAAATGACTATTTTGGATTTATGATTTAATTTTATTATTTATTGAACACCGATTCAGCAAGTATGATCATCTACTTCCAAGCTGATATTTCACCTCTATCAAAATTGTGACACTGTCAGATCTGGAAAGCACTTGTGTTCTGATACCTTGAGCAACTGAATACAGAAATGGAATAAATGGATTTAAATTAGTGGTTTAAATTGCCAGTATGATAAGTGAGTTCAACTACTCGATTTAAATCATGAACCATCATTTACTAAAAGCTTTCTAATTAAAATAGTGTCCTGACGTTGCTGTAATTATGAAACTACTTAAAACTCACGGTCCCAATGTGGACTTTTCTTTCAAGATTATAGATTGGATGCAGTGGTTGCATATTTTTCGAAAACAACATTGGACAAAGACATCACAACTGATTTTATTAAGCTTATTTTGTTCCCATGGCACAGTGATCACGGTTCACTCACCGAGATTGCCAGTGGGCAAATCAAGGTACTTTGGTACGGAAGGTAAAATATACATGTCCTGTGAAAAATGAATCAGTATCAAATTTGTACTATGTAATTATAGCAACAAAAATGTCATTGTTAAGGGGGCTGGACAACAATTATGATCACACTGTCAGAGAAGAGGACAGGACAACAACCAAGCCGTGGTGGAGCAGTGGTTAGAACGCAGTATTGCAGGCTAACGCTAACTCTGCCAACTGCCAGCAGTTCGATCTTAACTGGCTCAAGGTTGACTCAACCTTCCATCCTTCCAAGGTCAGTAAAATGAGGACCCAGATTGTTGGGGGCATTATGCTAACATTTGTAAACTGCTTAGAGAGGGCTGTAAAAGCACTGTTAAGCGGTATATAAGTCTAAAGTGCTATTGCTATATCAGACCCTGACTGCCACTATCAAACCATGATGTAGATTTGAAGAGTTCGGGAACTATGGCATGGTATGGTTGCTGCACATGAATTACTCTTAGTACGTAAGGGAATCATGTTCAGATGGTACCTGAATCAATTCAGATTTTAGTTTAAAAGATTCCTCACAGACACACAGACACACACACACAAAAAGGCATGTGAAGCTCCATTTTTTATGTAGCAACTGCTCTAGAGACATTTTGGAATAAACTGTGGGAGAAAGTTGCTGGTTCAGATCAGGGACTCTTCTCTTGGCCAGCCTTAATATGCTGCCAAAGATTTCATCCTTCTTTACTTGCTTCCAAGTCTCTTATCTTTTTGCTTTCTATCTGGAACTCTCTTCCTCACTACTTCAGCTGAAAAAGCTTACAGAAAAAATGACTAATTTTAAAAATCATTCCCTACTTTCCCTACAGTCTTTAAAAAAGAGAGAGATAACACCAGTACCCTGACAGTCAATATGTCAGCTGCTCTACTATTTACACAATTCTTACTGATTTACTAATACCAGGCCATGAATAGTTTTTGTATAGTATTTCCTATGTTTCTTTTTCAGCCAAATGCATATATTGTTGTTTACAGAAACGGTAGATCTGCAACCTCCTAATGAACATTTTATCCAAGTAATGGCACATTTCCTCTCATAAATATATTTAGCTTCCGTTATGTAGAAATTGGTTTGTTTTCTGATAATGAGTTTTCTAAAGAGGCATGAATACTTTCCTGCTTTTTGGTGTAATTAAACTTTTAGGAGGGGGGATGTATTCTACGTCTGCAGATACAGAAACTTTGTTCAACTGTTGGGGAGCTTATAATCCTTAAAGCAAAGATGACTTGAATTTGATATCAAACATTCCAGTATTTTAAACTTACATTTTTCTTGGGTTTGTTTGCAATACCCGAGTCTGTATATATGTGTGTGTGTGTGTGTGTGTGTGTGTGTGTGTGTGTGTGTGTGTGTGTGTGTATGTATGTATGTGTGTGTGTATGGTATTCAGCTTTGTTCGGGTATTTTCCCACGTCATTATAGTTGTGCTTTTAAAATTATAGCGACGTTTTGGCAGAATCTCATCTGCCATCATCAGGCTTGTGTTCGTCTGACGAACACAGTACAGAAACCTGATGATGGCAGATGAGATTCTGCCGAAACGTCACTACAACTTTAAAAGCACAGCTATAATGACGTGGGAAAATACCCGAACAAAGCTGAATACCATACATATAAATACCCATGAAAACTTAAGAATATATATATAGAGAGAGATACACACACACACACACACACATATATACACATATACATATATACATACATACATGTAGGTCTAGGTGTGTTCAGGTCTTTTCCCATGTAAGATTAAGAGTATCTTGGCAACGTTTCGGCGCAGTCCCACTCGCCATCCTCAGCCTGAGGATGGCGAGTGGGACCTCGGCGAAACGTCGCCAAGATAATCTTACACGGGAAAAGACCCGAACACACCTAGACCTACATACCTGTACCCGTGAAAATCTACGAAAACATATACATATATATACACACATACACACACACACACACACACACACACACACAGAGAGAGAGAGAGTATTAATCATCATTTTCGGAAGACTAAGATTGAACTCTTGGTCAAGAATATGGGAACAGTCGTGAAGTTTTCTTGGCAACAGTGGAGCACTGATTAGTTGCTTCCTTTGAGGAATTATTTTCCTCAAAAACTTCTCAGTCTAGTTCTGAGCCTTCCTGGTGATCTCTTATAGAAATGCTATAAAAATAAAATACTATAAAAATAGAAATACCATAAAAATACAAGCCTGGACTAACAAGGGTTTAGCTTTTCAAGATCGATCAATGTTGGGGAATCTTTTAAAAGTATCATTATGTATTTCTTACTGTTTTGATGGTATTTTCTCCCCCACAGTGCATAATTTTATGCATTTCTGTCAGCTAAGTGATTTGGCTTTCCCCCCTAAATTAAGAAAGTGTGAGTAGTAGTATTACCTCTTGTCATAAAATAATTGCTTCCATTTTTTGTCCATTTTTTTTTACAAAAGACTTAACAATATTGATAGCTTTGTTATCAGTTTATTTCCAAATAGTCCCCAACATTTATTTTGCCATTTTATAGCAGCTGTGAATTGCGTTAGATGTTTACACTCTGCTGTCTACTACAAACACAAGATTCTTTTCCTGCTTAGTCATTGCTTACAGAAAAAACATATTTCCAGTTATAATTCTTTTTCACCCCAATATACACAGAGAAGGATCTGGAATTCTGTTCTCTCTCTTGGCCAAGGGTCTTCAAACTTGACAGCTTTAAGACTTGTGGATTTCAACTCAACCCTTCATCTATCATTTCAATTGACTCCTCACAGTGTTTGCCAGCTTCACACTCTGGTTTTTTTGTCCACAGACAACAATTACAACACAACATAGAGCAAGGGTCTTCAAACTTGGTAAGTTTAAGACTGGTGGACTTCAACTCGCAGAATTCTTGAGCTAACATGACTGGAGGAGGAATTCTGAGAGTTGAAGTCCACAAGTCTTAAAGTTTGAAGACCCCTGACATAGAGGGAGATAACTTGAGATGCCAAGTAGGCCACCAGCCAAAGGTGCACAAGATTTTAATGACAGTAGGTTTATAACCCAGGGCAGTGTCTATAACTCCCCCTCCTCAAGTTTCTTCCTGCAACAATACACCTTGTATATTAGATTAGAGTGAGATATGCAACTGGCACAAAGTAAACGATTTCTGTGGCTGAAGTAATTCATACAATCAGTCCTCAATCAACCTCTTTAACTATTCTTTCTCCTGAAGACAGGAATGCTGTGTTCACAATTATATGGAAACAGTGATTTGCACTATGCAAACACATTTAACAAAAACATTTATAAAAAGGAATTTTAAGTTCAGCTTAAATTGACCATAATAAAAATGTGCAAATAACAGGGTTTTTGGAGGGAATGCAGAACTGGGTTTTCGTGGGAAATTATTAAAATTTTATCTTCGGTGAGGGAGCAAGGTTGCTTAGGTAAGTATGTGTTGCAGAGTCATCCACAAGCAAGCCTCAAAGAAGAAGAAAATAGTCTAGCACAATGGGATTATTTATCTGGTTCTGCAGGGATCTTTAAATGTTGTCGCTCAGTTTTTCTCATACTTATTGTTTGTTGTCAGTGAAATACATTGCAATGACTAGTATTGTCCAGGCACTGGGTATAACAGCATACTTTTTAACAGCCAATTTATATCAGGAATATTATTGATCATTTGATGTACTATGAAGGCTGATCTATTTTATCTCCCAATACTTGATAACATATCAAATAACGGCGTCATTATATTTTCCCCCCAATTTCATTTCCCTTTAATACGTTTTTAAACAAGTCTGAAATCGACATATTTTCTATGGTAAAAAGTTTTGTGATCAAGAGCTAGTTTCTTCATGATTAAACTTTGATTATTTTGAAGGGCTAAACAAATGTTTTTACACTCAATTAATTTTAACAGAGTCTCCTGATCCTTTGAAGGCTTTTTTTCCTATACACTTACTGATTGATTGTGTGCCATCAAGTAGTTTTAGACTCCTAAGCAATTCCATAGCTAGTAATTTTCTCCACAAACTATAGGTAGTTCTTGATTTACAACAGATTATTTAGTAACCTCTCAAGGTTACAGCGACATTGAAGAAAAGTGACTTATGACCATTTTTTCTACACTCATACCTTTGGGCAACCTTCTGACCAGCAAAGTCAATGGAGATGCCAGATTGATTTAATAACCGTTTTATTAACTTAACAATTGCAGTGATTCACTTAACAATTGTGGCAAGAAAGGTCATAAAAGGGGAAAAAAGTAAGTGTCTTGCTTAGCAACAGAAATTTTGGGCTCAATTGTGGTCGTAAATCGAGGCCTACCTTTTCTGTGTCCATGCCTAGCCTCCAAGAGGTGACTTACGATGAAT